ATCTTGAAAAACCTATAAACTTTTTAGCTAACCCTCATATTACATTATATCATTTTATTCTGATTTACTATGCGCAGCTGTAGCACAATGCTGAAAATGTGGAACACCTAGTTAGGATTGAACTCATTTCTCAGGCGTAATCGGCCTAGCCAAGGAAAGCTTGCTAACCATTACACCTCATTGTGTTATTACGCTCATAACTCCCCCACTTCGCGCGTCGATCTCTGATTGGTTCACTTCCTGGCAATTCGACGCCCTGGTAGCAAATGAAAGCGACACACTCCCCGCCAAACCTTCTTGGATGGTGTAAAAATGCTTCTTTCTGAATCCTGGCGAATGCTTTCATAACATTTCTGACGGAATATAATGCTGTCATCACTCCCAAAACGTTTGCCTATAAATTGGAGCTATATATAAAGTTCTGTGACTTTCATTAGTCCGCCCGTTCATCACACCCTTGAAAATAGCCATACATTGACTGGTCAAAACCAAATTTTGAGAACGACAAACATGGATACAGTGCAATTGGTTTTACTAGGGAGTTTAGTATAATAAATTTTTATTTATTTTTTTAGAAAAATTATAAGTTTTATTAACATAAATTTAATGATTAAAATAACAAATACTTATTTAATAAAAATGCATTATTGTTTTTGCTTATCTTTTCGTTAAGTTTTTATATATACAAGAATCCAGTTAGCCTTGGGTTTACGAGAATTATAAACAAATCACGAGGCCAAACGCTTTATAAAGTTGTAAATTGGCTCCGCAAAGAAATATTTATGCATGGCCCGTTGTATGTTGCATGCTCAAGAATAAGAAATCGTAGCAATCAGTTTATTCTTCACTTTTAAAAATAAAAAAGAAAAAAAAAAAAGATAATTTAAAAAAAAAATATTATCAGGAAATCCTATGAAATTAAATTAGATAAATTATTAAACGGAGAAGTAGAGTTTTTGTCAAAGTATTTTCCCAAACGAATCTGCTTATTAAATTTCATCGATTGGTTTCCGAAATAAAAAGAAATGTAGAGTTTGTAAATCTCGACAAAAAGTCTAGTATTTAAAATTACAATTTGCTTTATATTAGTAAACTTTCTACTGACGTCTCAGCTGTGGTGTACTCGTGATAGCGAAGTGAGTTCCATCAGTGTCAAAAGCGTTGGGCAATCAAATAAACAGCACCTGATATGCATTTTCCACATTTCGGAATGTTAATCAAAAGCATATTTAGAGTAGGAATAAAGTGGGGGTGGGGAAAACTGGAACGAGAGAAGAGGCAGAATATGGTCATAATTGTCGTCATTTCCTTTAGGCGACCTAAGGTGCCGGTTTGTCGTCATCTCACTGACCAAACTTTTAATGGTGAAACGTGTCTTTGTATATAAGGGAATGTCTATAAGCAACGAAACAGATATATTCGCCCACAGAGATCGGAAGAGTAGCTATAATATTTAGAAGAAAGCGGACACCGGCAATAAAGAAAATATTTTCGTTGGGATATATCCGTAAAGAATAAGAAAAATTTGTTGCTGAATACTTGTTTGTAGATTAACATTCATTGGAATTTCTTCAAGGCATGACATTTTTCAGAATAAAAAAGAAATGAATAAGGGTAGATAGGTTCGCCTATTGCCCAGTTCACTCTCCTCCTTGTCATTTTGAACAGAAGTAGCGGTTGTTTCCTGTTTAGGATTGGGTTTCCGGTTCCTTCTAAAGACTATTTGAAGTCTATACTTCTAACTCTGAAATGTTATCTACTATTTTTGTTCTCTCTCCTCAACTGGAATAGATAACTTTACGTGTCGTCCAGTCTTTTGAACAAGAGTAGACATTGTTCCCTTGTTAAGATCAGGTTTCCGGTTCCTTCTAAAATCTTTTAATTCTTTTTTTACTTCCAATAGTACCATGTTTAGGGCAATTTGATTTAAAAAAATGAATTTTATCAGTTTAGAAGTAACATTCTGTTCATAATTTCGATAAAGGATAAAATCGATCATTGACTTTTTGAGATTTTTCTAGATATAGTTTGCTATTTATTAATATCAATTTTGAAACCAAGCTTATGTCATTGATATCTACATATTTTAAATTTTTCTGAATATTTTAAAACGTTTTAAAACTATGGGATGATTTTTTGGATTCACAGACACAAACGATGAGGGATAATAATTAATAAACGGATATATTTGTTAATTTATGTAAAATCTTTGTTCTTTGATTAAATAAGTATTTATCCGTTTTTCTTTATTTAAAAGAAATCTTTATGTAAAAAAAATGTCAGATTTCGTACACAGAACAGCTAAGTCGTAGATAACTCTGTAAAAAGTCATGGATCAATTTTACATTGTATCGATATTACGAACAGGAACCACATTCTAAAATTGGTCCTCTCTCGCTTGGAGTTGGTTGCACAACGTCGAATCAGTTTTGAATTCAGAGTTGGTTGCTACTTATGTAGCTCCACTCGTAAAAATATCGGAAAAAAGAATTTCAGTGAATAAGTTTGGTAGATTAGAATTTCTTAGTCCTTCCTCAAGAGGCAACATTTCTAAGAACAGAAAATACTGAATTTTATCATTTTTTTTAATCATTTCCCCCAAGGCAATAAAGACACTAAGGCCCATGACGATACTGTGTTTTAGAAAATATGAGAAATAAAATAATACCAATGAGAGCGAATAATAAAATTACAGAAATTAAAATTCAGAAAATAACGATTGACATTATATTTAAAGTTTTTAAGAACAATGTTTACTGAGAAGTAAGAAGCCGGAACAGCTCCCACTTTTTAAAACTTATTCATCGTTTTATGGTTCTTGAATGAACTTTGACGATGGAAGGCTTGAATGATCTTTTTCCTCTCACCATTGCTCAGTGGGACTGACACAAAGCGATTTTAAACTGTTCTCTTTCTAGCTGAATATCTCAAAGTGTTTTTCAGCTATTCTTACGACAAATGGTGCCAAGATGACTAAACGTCTTCTCTGAAAATCTGGAGAAAAGAAACTCAATTAGTTTTGTGTTTTTTTAGATAGTAAACATTTTGTGGGCTGGACAATTATGCTGTTACACTCGGTACATATATATATATATATATATATATATATATATATATATATATATTGCCAGCTCGATGTTTTCCATAAAAGCTGTCTACGTTAGATGTCCTTCAAGATAGGACATCTAACATAGACCTGTTTAACAGGTGTAATATTGGAGGAATCGAGACTTTTATCATACAGTCTCAGTTACAGTGGATTGGTCATGTCTTGAGAATGTCTGATGACAGGATACCCAAGATCCTAATGCACAGCCAGTAAGATCAGGGCTACAGGAATGTAGGACGCCCATGGCTAAGATACAAAGACAAGTTGAAAAGCATCTTGTCATCTGTCAATATACCACATAACACCATTGAGCGCTTAGCCTTGGAGTGGGTAGAATGGAGATCAACGTGTTTTAATGAAGTCAGCTGTTTTCAATCAGCTTGTCTGAATCGTCTTCAAGAAGCGAGAGCAAGATCTAAAAGGTCAGCCAATCTAACAGTGATCTCATCCGACATTCCTTACTTTTGCTCCATATGCGGCCTCCTTTGTAAATCACTAGCGGGTCTTAAGTGCCACTTAAGATTATCGCACAAAATTTCATAACTGAATCAATTAAGTTGTCAGAAACCGACGGGAGAGTTCATTATATATATATATATATATATATATATATATATATATATATATATATAGGTAAAATGAGAATAAATGTAGTATAATTACACAGACCGTAACATTTAATTTAAAAGAGGACTCAATACAGAGTAGAGAAAAATATTATTTATTTTCTGATATTAAAACAAAAACATGTTAAAAATCGCTACACAATGGCAATTATGTTTCGACACTACAAATGTATCTCCTCGGGCGATTGCGAACTACTGGCGAGTGAACGTTTGCGTTTCAAAAGAACACTTCCTTATATTTCAAGAAAAAAACAATTAAAAATAGTCTTGTAGGCTTTACCGTGATTAACCAATGGAATGTGACCTACGCTAAATTCAAACTCACCCAAATTTTTTTTAATTATATATATATATATATATATATATATATATATATATATATATATATATATATATATATATATATATATATATATATGAAGAAAGGAAGAAAGAAACTTTTTTTTGCTGAAGAACGCAGTTTCCCCTTTTTGCCAGAGTTGGGGTTTGAAAGCTAGTAAAAATTAATATAGACATAAAAATCTGGAAGAAAAAATGCATAAAGACAGATGTGTGGATGTGAGGTGGTGTAATGGCTAATGGTATGCCGAGTTCAAATTTCAGTCTAGTTCATTACATTCACTTAGACGCAAACATCATCGAGAAAGATATGAATGTAGGGAAACAGTCCAGATGGAAAACTCTGAATTGAAATCATTCATGGAGTGGGCTGCTGTAAATGTGGTAGCGCTGTGACCCTAATGGGTTACAGGACTCGTGATCGTAAGATAGATAGATAGATAGATAGATAGATAGATAGATAGATAGATAGATAGATAGAAAAGGTATTCATACGCACGTCCAATCAAGAGAAATGCGACACAAGATCGACTTTAAATTGGTAAGGGAGCCCACGCGCGCATATCGTTTAAGAACAAATATTGCTCCAAGCCCCTCAGCACTTTCCCTTTTGAGGATACCTATCGTCTTATACATCATTACGTTTTGTTTGGGAATGGATTGGATATCGTTGATTATTAATGTGAGTCCTAGTGGAAGGTTGATTGTTATTACCTATTGTATAAGACCCCCTTTTTGTGCAGCAGCTAAATAGCTGAAAATACGTAACCTTCTTGTTGGATAAAGTTTAACATACCAGGTTTCAAGATGAAAGACCTACGAACACATGTGGGTTCATTTGCACAGGAAACCTTTTCTGTGTCTGACGCTATTCACTTTTTCATTGTGAAAAAAAAGAAAAGGCGACGATGAACAAATAAACGAATCTAGAATTGGGTTAAGAAAAAAGAAGAGCCAGGAAGGACAAAGAGAGAAGAAAGTCTGGGACGAAGTATTTCAAATAATGAAAGAATATACGCTGGAAATAAGAGAATGTACAGATGAAAGGCAAGGAAAGAGAAGGAAAGAATGCTGCAAGCAAAACATATTAGGCGTAAAAAAAGCAAAAGAAAATTTAGAAATAAAAAGATAATGAGCAGGATGTGAATGAGTGAAAGGAAGGAAGGAAAGAAGGAGTGAAAAAAAGAAGGAAGGAAGGAAAGAAGGAGTGAAAAAAAGAAGGAAGGAAGGAAAACGAAAGAAATAAAAAAAGAAGTTTTTTTAGAAAAACCGAATACAAAATACTAAGTAAATTGAAAGAAGTGAAGAAAGAAAAAGAAAATAGAAGGAGAAGGAAAGAAAAATGAATTATTTGTAAAGAAATAATAAAAAAGAGCAAAATACATGCAAAGCGAGATATCTCAGTAATGAAATAAAAAAAGGAAAGCATAAAGAAAAAGTTGTAAAAAAGAAAGAACAAAGAGATAAACCAGCAAAAAATGAAATCACTTGAAAGAAAGAAAAATTTGTAACAAAAGAAAGAAAAATTTGTAACAAAAGAAAGAAAAAGCCTGTAGAGAAAGAAAAAATTAAATTGCATGTAACAAAGGAAAAAAGAAAGAAGCCCGTAAAGAAAGAAATATCTTTACATTTCTTTCTTTTGAAAGAAGAAACAAAAGTGAAGGAAAGAAAAAAGCTGCCAAGAAAACCGTAAAAAACATCTGTAAAGAATGATAGAAAAAAAGAAAAGAAATACAAAGGAAGAAATCTATGTAAAGAAAAACAGAAGGAAAAAAAAACTGTAAAAAAAGAAAAAACAAAATTAAAGATGATAGAAAAATGGGAAACAAATTAATGTAAAAAAGAAAAAGTGATAGAAAGAAAAATTGTGAAGAATTAATAAAGAAATACATGTAAATAAATAAGCAATGAAGAAGTGCACGTACAGAAGGGAAGTAAAAGAAAGATAAGATAGTAAAGAAAAAAGAAAAGAAAAGAAAACCCTAAGAGAAAGAAAAAAAAAAAGACAAAAAAAACTGCGATGAAGGAAATTCCCGTAAAGAAAAAAAATAAAGAAGAAAAGAACTTTAAAAAAAATGAGAAAACTTGTGAGGAAAGAATAAAGAAACAAATCTAAAGAAAGAAAGAAAAACTGAAAGAAAAATGAAAAAAGAACTGTAAAGAAAAAATAAAACTGTTAAGAAAGAAAAAGACAAGTTAAATATAAAGAAAGAAAAAAGAATAAAAAGAGAAATATCCACAGAGAAAGAAATTCCTTTTACAAAAACGAAAGAAAGAAATCCATGTGAAAAATAGAATAAAGTGTACAGAAAGAAAGAAAAATGATACAAAGACCTGTAAAGAAAAAATGAAAATGAAAAGAAAAGTTCAGAAAGAAAAAGAGATCAATTGAATATAAACAAAGAAAATTAAAAGAAATAAAGAATGAAAAGACAAAGAAGCACTGAAAAGTAAGAAAAAAAAAGAGAAAATACTCGGAAAGAAAGAAATTATTTTAAAAAATCTAAAGACAAACCTGTAATGAAAAAATAAAGTCCATGTAAAGAAAAAAAAGTGAAAGAAAGAAAAAAACTGTAAAAAAAACAAAACAAAAAGAGGCCAATATATTCAAAGAAAGAAATTCTTTTATATATATATATATATATATATATATGAAAGTCCGGAAGGAAACAAGAATTAAAAGAATTACATATCAGCAAACGAAGAGAGAAGGAAAAGCCGGAAGGAAGAGAAAAAGGAACGAATAATAATAATAAAAAGACAAAGTGCAACATTTCAGCAACAAAGGCGGATTTGAAAAGTGTCAAGCAAGAAGTCAAGACGAAGAGCGAAGGTGTAAAAAGATAGCCTTGTGGAAAGGAAACGTGTTTAACTCCGGGAAAAAAAGCCGGAACAAAATCTCTCGCCAAAGCCTCCACTTGTAAATTCTAAATTTCCGATCCTCCAAGTTAATGACCGACGTAAAAGACTTTTCGTTCTCTTGTCAGACCACACATCATGACATTCAGGTGGAAACCGTTCAAATACAGAATTGGATTTCAATGCCAGACATTATTTTTTTCATTTAAATTCAATTAAAGGAGACATTTTAACAATTTACTTAAGTATACAACGAATGCTAGTTTTTATTTCCGCCTTTTTGGTTTGCGAAGTAGTTTTAGCTTAACTAAGGAATTTATAGATCATATCAAATCATTTTATAAATGGTTGCAAAAATTGCTTAATGTCTCTAAAATAACTGATACTCACTTACAGTTTTTGCTGTTAAATTTACCTGACTCCAAGATTTAAAAACAGATCATTTATAAAAAATTATGTAAAAAATAAATAAATACGACCCTCTGCCACTTTCCACTTACTAGGGCGAAAACATTTACAATCAATAGAGTGTTCGGATGGGACTTTCTTGATAAGCTTTGTTTCTAAGCTCGATTATGGCTAAGCTGTTCTTTTTCAGCGTAATAAAGAAATCTTCTAGCAAAAAAAAAAAATTGATTGAGAAGCAACCAATAAGAGGAACGTATTTTGAAACCTGCTACAATTCTGAAAACTGGCCACATACGAAAACTTAATACATACAATTTTATATCTGTGAAACAAAACCATCAAGTTATCCTCGATGATACCAGAAAACTCTAACTCGCTACAGCTATAATTCTGCAAGGCTGTACCAATTCATACCACAAATGATATTCATTTGACAACGCCTTCAACAATAAATATTCCCGTTACTACATTGGCCTGTCAACTATGAACAGGAGTAAAAATTAACATCACTTCGTAAACTTCTCCGTTACAATCTATCAAGGATATTTTTTTAAAACTTTAGCAACTAATGTGAGTCCCTACCTTCTTTTGTCATAAATTATTGCAAAACTAATTCTTGTTAAATTTGACAATGAGTATAATTCATTTTTATTGTACTCCTGAACAGGTATTAATTTTTTTTTATATATATATATATATATATATATATATATATATATATATATATATATAGTAGGTATGCACTTTACATTTTTGAAGACATTTTATTACATTTATATTTATTTGTTACAAACATATTTGTTTGAAACTATGTAAATTTGTTTAACATTTTACTTATATTTTTACTTATATTTTTAGCCCAGTTTAATCTCTTAAGTACTCAAAATGGCCTCCTTCAAAATTACAACATTCTTCAAACCTCTCCAGAAGACTGTGACATACAGCACAACATGAATCCTGACCTGCATCAATTTCAATAAACACTTATGAGATGAACACTTTAATTCGTCCGTTGTGTTGGGGGGGATACTCTGATAAACCTTGTTCTTTACTACGTCCCCCCTCCCCAAAAGGAATCCATTGATCAGGTGAACATGGTGGCCATTCGAGGCTGCCCCTTCTTCCGAAACAACGTTGTGGAAAGGTTTACTTAAGGTAGTCCCTTAATGGAAAAGCATAATGGGGAGTTGCTCCATCTTGCTTAAAGAACAGTTCGGCGTAGTTAACTCTGGTTCTGAGCTGTTAACTTAATCGTGGTACGAAATTGTTAGGAAAGAAATAGACATAAGTTGAATGGAAAGAACTGTAAGCCTACTTTTGGCCCACCCTATATATATATATATAGAGAGAGAGAGAGAGAGAGAGAGAGATAATTTGGGGGATTTAGGCAAATCATTATAGTAATTCATTGAGTCTAGAAGAATCCTCAACAGAATGCACCGGACGGCTGTTTCATCCAATTTTGGGGCTCATCATCAGTGCGCATACACTACCGAGATTCGACCTCGGACTGTTTCGATACAACGCAAGAATCATACCAACTGTACCAATGGGCCTCGGTGACGAAGAGGAAACTGAATAGACTTGATATAACGCCGCTGCTCATAAATTCCGTGGTGATACTCACCCAAGAATTCATAACCCAATGGATTGTGCCCCAAAAGCCATGACTTTCCTTTCGCTTCGTCGCAGAGCATTAGCTGGGTCAAGTAAGGATATATAAGTAATAGAATTTTTAGGATTTAGGCAAATCATTCTAGACTCGATTAATTACTATATGTATATTTAGGTGGCATATCTTCATTCAATCATGTATGGTTGAATAATTTAGATATATTATGTCTATTTAGTTTCATTTTAATCCTCTCAAATTCAGGGATCAATTTCTTAATATTGCTATCAAACTTATTAACAAAGGCGCCGCCGTTTTTGTTTTTCTTGGGGTTTTTTTTTTTTTTCATTTCTTTTATATGTCGGATTCAAGATCTATTGCATAACATTTAAAGGTATATTTCTCTCCACATTTAGGATTTAGAGAAATATTAATTGACAATACAAGTATACTTCACCAGGAAAATAAGAAAAATCAAATTCTTGAAGCCCTCTATTTAAGAAAATTACAGCCAACATTAAATAAGATTAATTATGAGAATAGCAACAATTTTTTAAACTGTCAAAAATAGCAAGTTTTAATAGAAATACAATTATAATATTTTGAAATATTTAAATTAGAATTTTTTTTTAAATAAAAATATAAATTAACCTACATCCCTTAGATAACGTTATTTTTTCATATGTGTATATAATTATAACAGAAAGTGTTTCATGCGTATTTACAAAAAAATCACTATTATCGATTACATTAATTTTTATCTTGGCAATTCACCCATGAGTATGATCATGGATGACATTGAAAGTACTTAGGAAAATAAAAGAAATGAAAAAAACTACGGCGCCTTCCTTGATGTGTTTAAACATTAAGAAAATTAAAAATTAAATATTGATTAATTGATCTGTAAATTTGAGAGAATTAAAATAATATATCGAGATTATATAAACATGCTTTAATATATATATATATATATATATATATATATATATATATATATTATCCAATAAAACACCTACAGTAAAATGGAAATTAATAAGAAAAGCTAGAATATGTAGGTGATTAAATGACCATGTTTTTGTGCATACATGAGAAACGATATATTACTAAGTTTATAAAAAATTTAAATTTACTGAATCAAAGAAATGAAATAGCTATTCTTTGCCGTCATTGTCAAAAATTTTCCTTAAATAATATTTTTAAAAAATAGGAGCTGGTAATATACATACTTATATTTGATATGAAAAAATAATTTAAGTAATTCTATTACATTTACTTGATTTAAAAAGAAATATAGTCTATTAGTAATTAGGAGTAAAAAATGTTTTAAAATTGTAGTTAAATAAAACGTATTCAAACCCAAACACCCCGTTTAGAAAGAACCTTTAAGTATACAAGTACGAAAAAAATGCCGAAAAACTTTTTGCCGATGAAAAAACAAAAGAAAAAAAAACAGACGACATGCATTTAACGGATGTCAGAATTCGTTGAAAAATGCATCCCTACCCTCCCTAAACTTAACCTCTTTTTCGAACGTAACTGATAATTGATACAACAATAGTTAATAAAAATGAACACGATACCGCCCCTGTCTGAATCATTGGATTTCTCTGTATCCTTGAAAACAGGAATTTAGGAATTTATATGTGCGTTTAAAACTCAATAAATTTAAAGTTATTCCAAAATTCGTGTTTTGGGGCAGCAGATCATTATTCAAACATATATTGTTAAATATAACAGACAACGAATATCTATTATGTTTGATCATGAGCCGTTCTAAGCTTCGTATAGTTGCTTTAGTTTCGGGAGAAAATAAAGAAAAAACTGCCTAACCTTTCGGTATTTTTTATTATGTTGCTCATTGATCTAAACTTTCGGCTCACATTAACTATCTTCAGAGTAGTTATATGACCATTACAACAGAGATGTTCACCATCAAAGATGACATCCTGTTATGCGTACATAGAAGTTTGCTATGCGGCATTAACGGTCGCGGAATAGCAAACGCAGGTCGTAAATCCGTAATGCGGTTCTATGACGTTGTACATGACTACGTGAGAGAAAGAAATGTTATCAACAGATCGATAGGTTTAGATGCAGTGTAGTACGTTGTGACTGGTTTGATTTGGAATTATGCAATATATTGGTTTTACTACAACCACGTTCTCCCATAGATTTACCTGTCGCTTTTCTGTTCTTAGTTACATTAAACATTTCTTTGAAAAACATGGCCGTGTGCATGATATTGGAAAGATATTGGTTGATGGCAGAGTAGTACTCAAACATACACACAGTAAAAAGAACCTTAAAATATTGTAGGCCACCTACATTAAAACAGGGCGGCTCACACTCAACAAAATTATATATATATATATATATATAATTATTATTATTATTATTTAAACGTTATTTTTAGTGGATAGGCGTATTAAAGTAGACGTTCTTTTTATTTATTAAATAGAATATTGATTTTCGTCTTGAATATTTGAGAAATTTTTTGAATCCTAGCGGAGAGGGCATATTTTTCTTTAATGAAATTTATCAACAATTTAGACCAGAATACGGAAATAAATAAATTTACTGTTCAATAAATAAACGGAGCCTATAATCAAATATGAGTATCCACCAAAAAAATAAAGTTTAAATAATAAAATCCGCTGGAGTGATATATAAAAATTCTCCCTTTTCTTTAGAAATTGCTTTGTTTACGTTAGGCTATGAAATTGGGCAGATATGTTTGTTTCAAGAGTCAGAGATAGATTAGTGTTTAAAGGAATTATTCAACATTACATGAGCCTTGACGCACTCCGTGTCCAAAGAGGTCCAAAGCACATCACGTCTAATGACGGTTTCCCCTAGAGGAACGCAGGTTCGAGTCTTGCGGGGAGGTGATTTTTT